TGACTGTCCCATTTTCAACCAGGGAACGCACATTAAATTTACCGATTTGATCACTCTACAAATTTGTATCTCCTTTCGTGTGCCTGACACTGATGATAGTGAAAAAATCATCCAGCAAGTTTGGCGGGTTTTTGCTGCTGCTCAGCCTTCCGGTAATTTTCGGGTCACTCCCTTGGCGCTCTCTATAAGTGGATGGTGTCAAAGCAATCATTCGGAGGTGGTAATTGCTGGCGCTACCGGATATCAAGACAAGCCAACACGATATAAAACTTGTGCAAACGTTCAATTGAGACCATTTTAAGTCGAAGTAGTTAACCATTCCAGTAGCAAACTGATATTTGACATTTGAAAATCAACTTTGATGAGTATTCTAACATGAAAATGTATAATACCGCTTAACGATTAGTTCACGGCCTGAAGCCGGGTCGCCTCAGTGGCTCGCACGTATTTCGTGCTATAAACATGATGCATTTGCAAAGATTATGATTCAGACATGCGATTCATGAAATAAGGTATTCACCTCACTGCAACCATGCCCCTACCACTTTTCATCTACGAAATTAAACCATGATGAAAAGCTCACTGATATTTCCTTTGTAAGTCAAAGGCGACGTCTTCAGGGCGAAAAAACTTTTGATCTGCGAAATTGAGGCAGTGCTATAAAAACAATATTTCAGCGTAGATAGAACAAATAACTGCTCAATCATACCTCTTTAATCCTCGGCAGCAATTGCGGATCGCTAACAAACCCATCGTTGTGTTTACCTTTCATTTTTCAACAAATACAGCTGTAAATCCAGATCGTCACACTACCGTCAATTTCTTAACGATTTAATACACTTTCATTAACAATGGAGCAAAAATTAGAAAACCACGAAACAACGTGTAGCCAATCGAGACACATTGGAAGAGGTAAATATTATTTATTTTCCTTACAGAACAATGCAAAACATTACGACGAGAATAAAGTCGTACAAAGACGATGTGACGTGATCTACATGTTTGAAATCAGTCAATAATATTTAACGTATCATCATTATACCTTGAACATCATCAGACATCGACTTTCACATAGATCAGCGGCAACTAGTGAGGACCACAAAAACAACCATGTTTAGCACAGCTCGAATCGAACGAACTTTACAATCAGTCTCATAGTAGATCGCCGACAACTACAGGAAAAAAGATAGAGAAATTCGACACATGATGGGCAATATTAAGTTGATAACTGTGCCTTGAAAAAGATAAATTATAGGGAAATATAAACTTTAAAAAGTGTCAAAAGGGACAAAACACATCGCTTAGAAATTACAGGGAGTACGCTTTTGAAAGTAGACGAGATAGGACGCATAGATGCTATTAGTACGAAATCTAAGAGAATTAAATGCACCAAATACCTTATACGATCAACGTTATTCGATTTGTTGAAGGCCTTGAAACGCAGTTGAAAATAAGATGTCACTGCGATTGACAATAAATGAACAGAAAATTTGGAGAGGAAAGCGTTGAATGGATGAATAAATATCATCAAACAACAATCCTACAATACATATCGTAGCAGCAAAAGCGAGAGAGCTACCGTGTTGGAATAATTCTAGTTTCCCAAGCCCGGCAGGATGCTTTAATTTATGCAAAATGCATACAGTGAAAAATATAGTGAAAATATTAGCCAAATAGCATGCTTGCAGAGCTGTCATAACTTTGAATTCAATCAATTATGGGAGGATGCTCAAAAAAGTACATTCCAATGTGGTAAAACATACGTTGCCTTATGAAAATAAACCAAAATTCTGTATTATGTCTCACAAAAAATTGAAGGAAATCGTTGGCAATACGCTAAAAGCGGAACAATGGAGAAAACTATAGTAAGAGCGCTGCAACGCGCTTCAATTGCTATAGGGAAATTTTAACTAAATTGTTAGTTAGCCCGCAACTTACACCAGAAACAAGACCTTATATACGAAAAACACTTGTGTTCTTTTTAGGAGAAGAATTACGAACGTCTCAAACAGTATGAGCTTCATGTAGTCGGAGAAAACCAAGCTTAACACAGAAGCCAAAGAGGAATCCGAAGCTTTTGTGAGAACTGAACCACCACTTACTTTTGAAAGGTCATAGTCGCCAATGGGCACCTAACTGATCTAAGTGTAAAGCGCAAAAGATGAAACGCGTTGCGTCGCACTGATTAGCCTCAACACTTTTTTAGTCAGAGAGCGCAACAGATTTAGGAAGAACCGTCAAGGCTCCTCTCGAAAAAAAGTGATATGAGGAAAGCTATAAAGGTATTTTCAGTGCACAATAAACAGAAT